ATTTATTTTTTGTACTGAAGTCAAATATTTACATATATATAATATAAATAAAACGTGTGAATTTGCTCATTGTGAGAAACACATTCCTTTGTGTTTACTGTAAAATGTTGCAATGCAAACATAATAAGATTAGTCACAGCGTGCCAGATTACTGAGTCTCTTCCAGAGCCATTCTCTGTCACTATAGACTCTTTACATAAACATCTTTGTGAGAGTGTGAAATCTGAGGATACAGTCTCTATTAGTTTTGCTTCCTTGCATATCCATCTTATCGCAACCATAGCTGACAAAGGACAGAGTAAGCTGGATACATAATGTGAGTTTTAGACTGCGTCTTTAGTAATTAATGGTTTCACTAATCAAGGCACCACTGAACAAATGAACCTTGATCGATGCTGGCCATGGCAGTGGAGAGGGCCTGATCCTTCTGCTGATGCAGCAGGAACCAAAGCAGAGCATCCTGCCAGAAAATATATGCAAACAACCCAGAGACCTGCATACTTTAATGTGAGCATCCAATCATTAGCCCTAAGTGTAGCTCATTATGTTCTTAGGACCACTGATGTGCACAATCCTTATTGATCTTGTAACACTCAAGAAATCAAAGGCCTCTCTGGCACCAAAATGCCATTTTTTCAAGCCGCTCTTTATTTGTCAGTGTGGTTACAGAACTGAAGGACAGAAGAGAACACATGCCCAAAAGTACTTGATCTTCAAATATTTTGCACATATAAAACAGACCTCTATAAATACAAAAAAGGTGGTGGATCCAAAATCAAAATGAGTATGGCTAGTGACGTGTCAGTGCTATTTGTGGCACGATCTTGTCTTTGATTATTAATGATGCATTATGAGTAAAAATAATGTTTACAGAAATGACTATTTACAGGCTTTATCTTCAGATATTGAGCTACCCATCCTTCCTCTAATTTACTTCCACTTTTAATGGGAAAATCAGTAAAAAGCTATAGAGCAGAGCACAAAATTGAGAGCATATATGCATCTGCTTGTTTCAATGCTGTCATTACCCGTGCATATATAATTACCAGTGAGACCAAAACTAAACTCTGATACTAATCTCTATTAGCAGATATTAACCCTTGAGGCAAGTGCAATTTTTAATCGCTGAGCTTTTAGCAGCAATTTAACAGAAAAAGAATATGCAGTAATGTCCCAAAACAATGCAACTACACTTTCAAAGTGAGTGCAGGGCACATCTGGGTCTTAATGCAAACCAGAGGAGATGACACTGTAAAAAACAAAAAATTATATAAAAATAAAAATGATTCAGGGAACAGAGCGTCACTGGCACAGCACTACAAAGAGAAGCCCTTGCTTGGGTTAATTTTATATTTGACTCAGCTTGAACATAACCTACAAACCAAGCATTTATTTATTTATTTTTATTTTAATGAAATTTGATAACATACATATTTCACTTTATTTATTTTGTACTGAAATTTGTTTCTTTAGTCTTTTTAGAATATTAAATATTGTATTATATTTTTAATTGTAAATATTACATTATTATATTTTTAGTATAATATATAGTATATTATTAAATTAATTTAGAGTATTTTGTATTATTAGGACATCTTCTCAAATCTTCTTATATCTTGTAATATTTTAAGTAGCTATTTTTTAATATGTTGCTTTCGTTAGGCTAAATGGGGGATTATTTGTTTTTGTCTTAAACCAATTAATATAGATGTTACCACAAGAAGCATGTTTTTCACAGTGCATATAAACTACATGCACGCCGCTGCCTCTGCCGTTAATTGGATTAGCCATTCATGGCTTTACCTGCGTATTTTAGCGTGATGACATAACATCCTGTCTGCTTTATTCATGTGCTGTATTTTAATAGCTATGCCTCAGTGACATGCAAACGGCAGCCTCTCACGTGACAATTCCTGCACGGAAAAAGTGCAGGCTAATATGAAAATCAATTAGAGAGATGCAATTCATAGAGCAAATTATGTTTGTGTACAATTTGTATTCGTCAGTGGCATTAGCATTGACAGTGTTCAATGTCTAGTAATAAGTCTGCATGTGAAATGAGGTTGGGGTGTAGGCTGAGACGGGGAAAGAGATATCAATTAACAGGCTCTGCAAAGTTCAGCAGCAAGAGCTGAGACTGCAATATCCTGATTCTAGTTCATTAACTAAACACTGGCCATAGAATGCAAAATTATTTCTGCAAACCACCGGCTAGATAAGGTGAATCCTTTTGTGATACAGTCATTGTTAAAGGATTCTTACATTTGAGATAATCAGCATTATGATAGAATAATCCGTATGTGGACCATTAACCAAGAGCCTGAAATTGCATCTATCAAATCAAGTGTTCCTTTTTAATTAAACTGTAATAATGAATAAATCTGCATAAACATGCTGTAAGATTTTTTAGAGGCCTACACTTTCTTGTCATACAGCTGTACAACTGTCATTTAATGCATTGTTCCTTGAATTAATGAATGAAAATGATGGATAGATAGAATAGAAATGGATTAGAAATGGACAGATAGAATGGATGATAGATGGATAAATAAATACTATTTTAACGATTATAAATATTGAATTACATTTTTTAATCACAACACATTTGCCATAATATCCTCATTTAGAGTGCAAATTATTAAGGGTAAGAGGTTCTATCCCAATAATTAAAGGGTTAGTTCACCCAAAAATGAGAATTCTGTCATTAATTACTAGAGGTCGACCGATGTATCGGTTTTGCCGATTAATCGGCACCGATAGTTGATCGCTGGAACTATCGGTTATCGACAAAAATCCATGCCGATAGTTTTCCAGGTTGCGTCCATTGCTGGAGCGGCTGAGAAGGGTCTGCTCTCATTATACAGTGCGAGAGCGGCCTCTAGTGGTTGAAATCACTGACAGCACGTGCTATTTGTTTAGACACGTGATACTGCACGCTGAACAGAGCGGGAAACTTCAGACGCGGATTTAAATGCAGCCGACAGAACATCCTGCCTCGCCACAGAGCGCCATTCACATAGTTTTCCTTTAAATTACAATTATATTGGTCCCGAATCGTTGTTAATGTACATAATGAATTGTGTATTGTGCATTTTCAGCGAAACGTTTGTCTTTCTGTGGCTCTAATAAAGTCTGTGTGCTTAATTTATAGAGCTATAATATAGGTTGCGCTTTCTCTTTACGTTTGCTCCGTTTTTTAAACACCGAACTTCAAACTCATCCATGCCAAATTGTTCATTCTTGAAATACATACAATATCCATATGTATATAATTTTAATGCTATAGCCTTTGTGTATATATTTAAAGATGTGCATCTTTAAGCATGACTGTTGAAATGAAATGGTAACACTTTAAAATAAGAGTCCATTTGTAGCATTAAGATTAATGAAAGCTGTGTAAGTATTGGTCCTTGTAAGAGTGTGTTAATTTCAACATTTACTATTATTATTATTATTTTTACTACTACTACTACTAGTATGCTTCAGTACTGTTTTTGTTAATAAAGCACTATTTCAGTTTTGTTCAGTATCAATTTTTAAACTATCAATAGTTAAAACTAAACTAATTGAATTAATCGGTATCGGCCAGTGTGGTTCAACCTAGCTATCGGTATCGGCAAAATCCACTATCGGTCGACCTCTATTAATTACTCACCCTCATGTCGTTCTATACCCGTAAGACCTCCGTTCATCTTCAGAACACAAATTAAGATATTTTTGATGAGTTCTGAGAGCTCTCTGACCCTCCCATAGACAGCAATGTAATTACCGTCACGCGGATACGTTGTTTTCGTTCAAATCACGTGTGACGCGTGACGCAGCTGACATAGAATAGCATACGCTGTTTACATTCAGTGGATATTCTCCAAAATAGCACCAGGGTGACGCGGAGGAGACGAGTTTTCTTTTCTTTGCGCACAAAAAGTATTCTCGTAGCTTCGTAAAATTACGGTTGAACCCCTGATGTCACATGGATTATTTTACCGATCTCCTTGCTACGTTTCTGCACCTTGACCGTGGTAATTACATTGTGTCTATGGGAGGGTCAGAGAGCTCTCAGAACTCATCAAAAATATCTTAATTTGTGTTCCGAAGATGAACGAAGATCTTACGGGTTTAGAACGACATGAGGGCGAGTAATTAATGATAGAATTTTCCTTTTTGGGTGAACTAACCCTTTAAGACTTGACCCCCAAAGAAAAAGGTTGGATATTAAAAGTAGGTACTGTTTTTACATAATTATATATTTTAACATCGTTTTCAAATAATATTTCATCAACAACAAAAGTTCGCAACACGCGCTAAATGTACGCTCGAAATCGCCGCTCCTATGACGTAACCATAGCAACAGCTTCCCGATCGTTGTCTACCGCCAACAAAACATATTGTCATTATTTATCACGATTGACACATTATTATAGATTTACACATCACAAACACATTACAAAAATAATGTTAGTGTTTTGTTTTGTCGTGGAGACAGTTGATTATAACTGCGCTAGTGTTGACAAAAAGACAATTTGAGCAGCGCATGGCGAACATTATTGACAGAAATGACTATTTATTTTTTTTAAAATCTGTACATAATTCTGCTGAAACAACCTTTTTAATAACACTACCCCCCCCATTCATTACAGGCAGTGAGTTGCCTTCAAATGCCTGTTGATAACTTCCTATTCGTCGATTGGCCACTAGTGTTCGCTGTTTAGCCTGTTTTAAAGGGAATCCTTGCCATTCTGACTCAGATAACTGAATGACACGGAATTATGACTTGGTTTGTTTTTAATTAGCAGACAAGAGATTACAGTAGATGAATTAGCAGGCCAACTAGTCAATCATTACTACTACTTGAAATGGTCGTACCTATTTTCCTAAATACAACATTCTCAGCAAAAGTAAAGAAACCACCTATATCCATAGGAAACAAAAGAACAAATAGCATGCTAGAGTAAAACAAAAAAGAAACAAGCACTCTTGCATCAAAACAGCGCGATACGTACCTGAAAAATACAATAGTTTCCCACAAATAAATCCCGAGTGCGAACATTGTGTCAGGTTGGAGATGAGTGGATGTAGTTGCACCCTACAATTCCTTCTTCTCTCACTTCTGAGGTGAACAATTCGTCCTTTGCTTGTTTCGGATTCCCAGAAAGGCCAAACAAATCTCAAGAGCATGCAGACGAGCTGGTCATCTTCCCGACAGAGGCTGTGCAGGTGAAGCGGAGCGCCTGTTTCACGCGGGTTGCGGAATTTGCAGGTGGAAGAAACAGCGTTGTGGAAAAAACAACTCGATGAGACCAATTCAGATGTTCATTCCCGACGACCCATAGCAGCATTAGATGCAAGACTATTCAAAGACGCTCCATCGCAAACATTCAAAGCAACCGAAACTATGCACGATATCTCCTCGGAGCGCCGGAATGTCTCCAAAGTCATTGGGAAAATACGCGTCTGCTCTTTTCCTCCGCGCGCCTTTTTACGCGCATCCCAATGAAGAAATGTGCCGCTTTCGAGCCACGCGTTAGTTTTAGCTACCTCTGGCTGAGGTAGTCTGATTTAGTGCGTTCTTGTTTCCCAGGGGTGAATTGTTATTGCTGCATGAAGCTACTTCCATTGTCTGGTCCAGTTAGGAGACGCTGCTCATTTTAGGTTTCAAGGTTTTTCTTGAATCCTCGTCGGAAAAGCCCAAACGTTGATATTTGGGCACACAGAGCCTGTTCCATCGCTCATAAACCCCTCAGCCGCACAGTATTTCTTGCTGCAGTCATTTACTAAACTCAAAAAGCACCTCACACACTCTCAACACACGCCCTCATGCTGCTGTCATTGGTCTGAATGGCACTCCAGACAAATGCCTCCTCCTCGGATTGGAGATGCGCACTGCCATATGTTGGACTTTGAGGGCTACGCTGTTTTGGGGCAGTATATGTACACTGTAACTGATTTTTGTAATTTGAACAGTATTATACTGTAATATGTACAGTAAGATACTGTAAAATGTGTATACAGTATTTCACTGTAAACCGCAAAGGATTATAGGAAAATATACGGTCACTACTCTATTTCCTCACTACTGTAAACCAATTTACAGTAGTGAACTTGCCCGCGAAAAACTGACTGTTCTTTTTTGACTGTTTGGTGGAAGTGGCTGTAAAAGGACAAAAGAGAAATGCACCTTAACTTGACGAAAGGTGAGTATATTATTTCTGTTTTATGCAAAACTGTGATACTGTAAATCAAATACAGTAAAGACATTACTGCACTGTAAATGCAATTACAGTACTAATACTGTAAACATTTTTACAGTAAATTTACTGGCATCCAGCTGCCAGTAAGTTACTGTAAAATTTACAGCAACCTATTTACAGTGTATTTACGTATGGCAGTTTTCAGAAGCATACTACAAAAAGACATTGGATGGCAGAGATCTGCAGTGCCTATAACTCTGTTCGGGGCACCAGGGCATTTCTTACCAACCGATTACGATGTTTATTAGATTGTTGAAGAGATAGACTGTAGCCTACCTAAAAAGGAACGAGTTTTTATTTTATTTATTTTTACTCATCACTAAAATCTAAGCAAAAGTATAATCAACAACACATTTTTAACCATTTTTATTCATTCACCTTTTGTATGGCCTGTCAACAGGTTACACTGAAATCATCCATATCCTTTTCAGCTAAATATAAACATTACAACAATTATGAAACAAAAACAAGTACTAAAACTGGGGGGTAAACACGTGTAATAGCTTGCTCTGAACAAACATTATGCTTTTAACTAAAGTCTGATAGTGTTTGTTTATTAAGTTCACCTGTTAACTCGATAACTAAAGCCAATAATGATATCCCAGCTAACATTGCGTATGTAGAACGTTATTTTAATGCTAGCATGATGTTCCTGCAATGTTCTTTCCATCTAATTCTATCACATCACAACATTCCAGGAACATGGAACATTCCAAAACCGTTCAAATGTCCAGGTTCTTTCAGAATGTTATTTAAAGGTTAGTACAATGTTCCTTCAACTAAATGTATTTAATTTCTAATAGACCACTTTTAAGGTTAGAATTTGTTCTCACAATGTTTTTTTAATTTATATGAACAACATTCCAGGTACAGCGTTCCAAGAGTTTAAAAATTACACGTGAATTCGAACAGGTATAGGCTATCTGGAAATAGTGAATAAAACTACACATTTTCAATACACTGGTTAAAATGGTGAAACATGACATATATCATGTAAAAAATAGAACATAGATTTCATATTTATGATTAAAATGAATTATAACTTGACCAACAAAACATACAAATGCTTCATAATTCTAATCTAGAAGACAGAATTCACAAAAATCTCATTTCAAAGTGCTTTGAACTAGACATTTATAACAAAATCACAAACCCTTCGCTAGGGAAAACATTCATTGGTGTAATTGGACATGAGTCAAAATTGTAGTTACTGAGATATATCCCATGTGACAACTAGCCCCAGCCTCCCCTGAACACACATCAGGAGTGAAGTTCACTGCAGCTCAATGTCACTTCACTGCAGGCATAATAACAAGTATGATGTTTGCCAGCGCAAAGCTGCTGTACAAACAAACATGACGTAATCATAACAAACATGTGTTTCGAATAAACACTGTCACAGTGTAATACAGTCAGCATCATTGTCTTTCTACTAATGAATACGATACCTGAGAAAGGCACAGCCTCTTATTTTGATAAAAAGTAAAGTTGGACATGGTTTATTAAATGCTGAATATTATATATCTGTATTATATATTATATCTAAAAGTGTTGTTTAAGCACAGAAGCGTCCACTGGATCAGTTTGGATCTGTGATCAATTACAGACTTGTATTTGTTTTTACAGAAGTGTCACTCATATATGCTCTGTATATCTCTGTCAAACTCTATAACACCTTGACAGCTCTAATATTTCATGATGAATAAAGAGTCTAGAAATTCAGTTGAATTTTGTTATCCGTGACAACACAAACAGAACAGAAAGAAGTGATTAAAGACATCAACAACTCAGCGGCTGAGACTGGAGGTAGATTCGCCCGTTCTGCATTGTTCCCACTGCCATTGTTGTAAGTGGGCCAAAACACTGACAGAATTGAATAATGTCAGTTCAAGCTGCTTTGAATATACTATATTAAATCCTTTGAATAGGAGGTTAAGATTAAAAAGTTATTTACCATGTGAAATCGCTAACGCAAGCATTACATGCTGAACAAGCTGACAGAAGGACAGAATTAATAAAAAAAACCCAGCAACAACACAGCTTTAAACGTTTATTTCCATTCATATGCCTGTGTTGTGCAGCACCGGAGAGCCAGATTATTTGATATATGATAAAATAACAGATACTTGCACCCCCCCCCCCCCCTTCGCATTGATCTATCAGTAAAAGAAATCATTAAAACACATTAGTCGGAGACCACTGACTAAATGTCTAAAATCTACTGTATCTAATTGTTATCTAATGAGAAAATGCTCCTAATTTAATCCATTTGGTTTCATATGATAAGTGTGACGGATGTCGATATTCAATGGTGCTATGCAAACACCGTCCCTTATTGTTCAGGCACAGAAAGCTCTTACTTTCATCTCATATCTCCATCAGTGGGAGGTGAACGAGCTGACTGAATCATCTAGATCAGTATTTCCCAATCCACGGGCCATGGAGTACCCCAACACATACTGTATTTCTTTTGAATGTCTCTCTTATGTAATGTAACTGGGTAGGCATACAGTATGAGATTACTTTACATTAAAAATGAACGTTCAATAGCGCTACCTGCATCAGTAGTGATCTTTAGCATCTATTATTTTTAAATACACCCACACACGTATGCATATATGTAAATCTGAATGTATATATTAAATATCTGAATATATAAATGAAAACTGGAATTAAATAAGTTTGAATTTATAAATACAAATCTTAAAATACAAATGTACAACCTTATTTGATATAAGAAAAAAAAACAAGGACCTGCCCCCCCCCCCCCCCATTCTGGCATTGATCTATCAGTAAAAGAAATCATTAAAACACATTAGTCGGAGACCACTGACTAAATGTCTAAAATCTACTGTATCTAATTGTTATCTAATGAGAAAATGCTCCTAATTTAATCCATTTGGTTTCATATGATAAGTGTGACGGATGTCGATATTCAATGGTGCTATGCAAACACCGTCCCTTATTGTTCAGGCACAGAAAGCTCTTACTTTCATCTCATATCTCCATCAGTGGGAGGTGAACGAGCTGACTGAATCATCTAGATCAGTATTTCCCAATCCACGGGCCATGGAGTACCCCAACACATACTGTATTTCTTTTGAATGTCTCTCTTATGTAATGTAACTGGGTAGGCATACAGTATGAGATTACTTTACATTAAAAATGAACGTTCAATAGCGCTACCTGCATCAGTAGTGATCTTTAGCATCTATTATTTTTAAATACACCCACACACGTATGCATATATGTAAATCTGAATGTATATATTAAATATCTGAATATATAAATGAAAACTGGAATTAAATAAGTTTGAATTTATAAATACAAATCTTAAAATACAAATGTACAACCTGAATATCTAGAAGTAAATATGAATATGTAGTTATAAGTCTGAATATATAGAAGTAAATCAGACTGTATTGTTAGAACTGTCTGGACGTCTGAATATGATATATATTGTAGTGTAGTGAGTATGTAGTTCTAATTATGTATTATTATGTAATATATACAGTAAACAGTAAATGTAAATTATGAGTATGTAGTTATAACTCTTGGAATATAACTTGGAGTATACAGATAAATGTCTGAATATATAGATACAAAACGTAATAAATAAATACATATGTATAATCTGAATATATCTCAAATCTGAATATATAGTTATAAGTCTGAATATATAGAAGTAAATCCAAAAATATAGTTATAATTTTGAATACGTGAATGTAAATATATAGTTATAATTCTGAATAAACAAGATCGGAATGTATATTTATAAATCTTGAGTAAGTAAATTTATAATTCAGAATATTTCCTAAATATATAAATGCAAATCTGAATACATATTCTCTACATCTCAATATAAATATATCTTCATTATCAGCCATGTCAATGGTCTTATTGATTTTTATTTATGTTTGTTAATGAAAACACAATGCTTATAAATTCTGTACGCATGTATCAATGCAGATATTGTACTATTTAGTATCTACTATTACTGTTGAATTAGTCAGGCTGCTGTTTTGTGAATATTGTTAAGGCTTTTCCAAAAGCCCAAGCCCACCCCTCTACCTAAATGAAAAGTGGGCTTCTGTAGCGGCCAGCACATCACTATGACTTAATCAAACTGACTTACGACGGTCCTGAGCCTTACACGGCCCAATACAGATTTACGTAGCAAACATGGGGAATATTCTCAGTGTAATCAAGGATGTGTTTCCTCTGGAAAGGAATGAAATGAAATGAAAAGATGAAAATGTGTTGTATGCTTCATCGTAAACGAGAAGCTTTTTTAGTAGGAGACACAAAGGCTGCACAAACTCATAAGTTCAATGTAGCGTGCTCATATTATCTCTCCCTTGATGAAACAGCTTGCTGGTAATCATCTCTATACATGTGGTTCAGCAGCAATAGAAATTCACAATAAAACATCTTCTGCTTGCATTTACAGCTGATAAATGAAACTGGTAAATAATGTGAAGAGAGTGATGTGACTTACTGACCTTTGGCGGTATGCTATTCTATTCAGCTGGTGTCAGACTGACATATACTCTTAAAGGAATAGTTA